TTTCCCTAACTTGGTATATAATCTGTAATTACAAATACTTACTGGCTCATCATTCACAGTGCAGTGAGCTCCTTTATGCCGGGAAAAGACCGAATCAGGTCTTTCAGGGAATTAGGGAATTGTCATCAATGAAAAGGATAATGCATTTATCCTTTAAGATAATTTTAAATTAACTGCCATGGACTCACGGAACACAACATTGCACCAGAAGTCAACGATCCATAGCTCAGGTTCCAATCCCATTACAGTATGTAATTCAAAGTCTAATTTATGTATTTGTTTTTCTCCTCACGCAGGAATCAGCAGCCTATAATGCTGTTAATGCTCTTCAGTCAGCCTATGGTATAAGATACAGATATGGTCCTGCATCTAGCACTTTGTGTAAGTTTTCCTCTGGCACAGGTTTGTGACTTTGACCTACCTATAGTAAGAAGGAGATTACCCTTATAACAAAGAAAGCAAACACTCTTTAAAGTGAACTTTGTTCCAGTTGTGGATAGTGAGGAAGGCGGAAGTTTTGTAACTGATGCAGTCAGTTGATTGCAGTAAGATTAACTTGATGGAATAAAAGAGATTAAAATGCAACGCGTTTGAGAGGTGAAAGCCAGCAAATAATGTTCTGAACACATAAAAGCAGATTTTTTTTAAAAGAAAGGTAAAACAACAAGGTCTTTAAAAGTATATATTTAGCAGATACTGCGAATGCACTGCTAAGTTCTAAATTTTGGGGTGCAAATAATTCAAAGTAGGTTTCATTTTTCACCATTACTTTGCCCCTCCTGTGCAATTGTGGTAGATACAGCCATTCATAGAGCTCATTCTAAAATTTGGGGTGATGTCTTTAAAAGCTGGGTTTCAAATGTCTGTGTCTAGATGATGATAAATGATAGCACCAGTATTTGGATATCTGCTATTTTTCAGAGAGAAATTTTAAATTTCTATAACAAAATATCTTTAAAATATGCTTTTTAAATATATAACAACATTTGTCAGACAACATCTTCACATAGACAGGTAGAAGAAAAACAATTTCAATAGGTTTCAACAAGTCGCTTTTATTTTACTGAAAGTATGAGGCCTGAACGCTCTTGGTAATGGTAAGAGGCATTGAAAAAGTGAGAAGCTTAAGTAAATAGCAAGATCTTTTACAGGTAACCTCCTACATCTCTGCTGTTGCTGTGTTTTGGCTAGAGCTCCACTTTATTGCGGGCCTCCGTCTCACAGCACGGTCATCATCCTGTGTTCGTTACAGTGCAGTCAGTTGCTATGTCAAAGGAAGGGCAGCGTGAATGAATGCCAGAATTGCTCAGAAGACAGCAGGCCACATGAGAGATGGATCTTTTTATAAATACAAGTGTCTTGGGTAATCAACATATGGAGATAACGAAAGCGTAAGCTGCACACTTCCTTGGGAAGGTTTGTTAATATTAGACACCACCTATGCAAATACTCTGATGCCGTAAGGAAATGGTGGGAAAACAAGGCAAAAATGAAAGGAATTTTAAAAGCACTTTGAGAAGGAGAGTGTAGATTACTTTATCAACTCTCTTACTTCTCCCTGCAAAGGGATTACCTAATAATCCCTGAACCTAGGAGTGTGCAGAGCTGCAGTCCAGCTGGGAGATTTTGTGGAAGCAAAGCTTTAGACTGCATCCGCCTGGGGACAAGAACAGTTTGAAGCTTTATTCTAAAAGTTCTCAGTTTTTAAAGTTTTGCTTTACACAAAAAAAGTCAATTTTTTTTTTTTCCTGTGAAAATCAAGGGTCTTAACCCATATTGTGCTGAGCACCTTTAACCAGGTGACAGATGCCCTTGCCTTTCTCTGGAGGGTGTTCAGGATCAGGGCAAGCAACAGCTGGAGTTGTAAGAATATTCACTGAGTCCTGGAGACAAAATGCCACAAGAACCCTCTGGTGCTTTCAACATGACCTGCATTTAACATTTGTTAAAGTTTTCACTGAATTCCCTCTTTCAGACGTGAGTTCTGGCAGCTCTATGGACTGGGCCTACAAAAATGGCATCCCCTACGCGTTCGCATTCGAGCTGCGCGACACTGGCCAGTTTGGATTTTTACTTCCTGAAACACTGATCAAACCAACCTGCACAGAGACCATGCTCGCAGTTAAAAACATAACTCTTCATCTGCTGAAGAAATGTCATTGAGAGCTATTTCTAGGTGCTGGAAGTGAGCGTTTTACTCCCAGTGCTGATGCCTTTCATTGTGTTCGGTTGCCATTCTAAGCTTGGCCACTTTGAAATTGTAGAAGCTAATGGGAAACATGGTATTGTTTGTACCAAGTTTACATGGTGGGAAATGAAAAAAAAGCAAGCCAAACTTAATAACTGCTCTACAAAAGTCCATAAAGTTGATATAATAATTTACTTACTAGTTTTGTATAAAATATCTGTTGTTTTTACAATAAAGCTTTGACTCGCATACAAGTGCCTGAAATAAAACCCCACTTCCAGACAGTCCCTGGCCTTTTTACAGGAAGATCCCCGCCTTAGTGGGGTCTCTCAAACCAAGGGATAAAGTTTACATTCATGTATATGTACGTGACCCAACACAGGCTCGTGTCTATAGCAGTAAATGGCACATGGCCGTGCTGGCAGTGTGGCTTCCTTCTGCATGTATGCATACATATGTATATGCACTTTTGTGAAGATTTTTTTTTTCATGTAATGCAAGAATTTGACCCAAGGTTTCCTGTCACTGTTGAGAGAAACCTCTATTTCAAATATATATATTGAGGTGGACTCAAAATCAACATACAGCCTTTGAAAATGTAACATTCCTAGAGATGTGTAAGAATTATAATGGAATATTATTGAGATATACAATACTCTGCTTTATGGAAAGACAAAGCAACTTGCCATGACTTGGAACTTGGAAGCTGGCAGTCAACTGGTGCATCTGGGTTCTGCTGTCGTCAGAGTTCACCCATTTCCACCAGCCAAGGATCTAGCCTTAAACTGTAATTAACCCATGTTCACTGATGGTTTTTGTATTGGTATTCCTGCAGTGAGTTCTGCAGCTCTATGGCTATGGGGCTATTCTTCTTGGAAGTCATATTTTTTGCATGGTTTAAAGGAATTAATAATAAATTCTTAAGTGAGCCAGAGGTGAAAACAGAAGGTTTACAGCTGAAATACAGTGAATAAGCACCATGTTTGGTAGAGTATTAATGAAAGCACAGAGAATGTAACAAGTTGTTGAGAAATTTTTGGTACTTTTAAAATACTTTTTTTTGGATCTTATTATATCTGCAAAAGCATATATTTTACTTTGGTATTTTTGAGTTTACTCTTATGCCATAACAAGTCAAATAAAACGTATTTGTTAATAAAATAATCAAAGGCTTTTAAAGTATTCTTCATATTTCATTTAGTTATTAAAGCTCTAGTTGAAGGGTGTGACGATTTCACTATCTGTAAAACATTACTGATACCAGGGATGCAATATTTTAAAACGCCTACATCCTCTCTAAATAAGTACTAGAACTTAGCAAATGGACAGCCTTTATGAGACCAGGGAGCACTGTATTTAATTAAGAATACCATTGTCTTCAGGACTGCAAAAGGAATCCATGAGCAAAGATAACAGAATTGCATTCTATTTGTTTAACATTTTATTAATAAAATGTATTTATTTTAAACAAGCTTTGTCAAAGCTTGTTCAAATTTGATTAGTTCAGACTTGTTAAGAGTAATGCAAGTTTCTGTTCTGTTTTAATAAAAATCTCAGGGACAGAAGTTTTCAAAATACCTATCCACTAGTCATTTCATTTGCTATGACCATATTTTGAAGACAGCAATAACTGGTTTTTGCTATGCACAGTCTTGACCAACGGTCTTGATAGCGGTGTAAATTAAACACTAGCACCAACTGTTGTGAGTTATTCTGGATTTAGATGGCAAGATTTAACTCCTACAGGGACTGAAGTGAAGGACAGACGGCATGAGAGATGCCTAATCAACATGAAGCAAATTTACTTCTGCATTGCTGCAGTACAAAAGTTTCCAAGTATGGGCCAGGAGAAAACAGATTCAGATGTGATGGTTTGATTTCTTCTAGTAGCCTAACAATTCGTCATATGAAACATTTTAGGCTTATCTTCATGCCAACACATCTCCACTATACTGAAAAGTACTTGAACTTCAGGACCAAGAAAAGGAAAAAAAATCCTAAAACCCTGCATGTAGTTTCCAAGAGGACCTAACATTGTAGATCTAGTTGACCATCTTGGGCAGGTATAATTGCAAGTATTCTTAAATATATCTAAGAAGCTTTGACATTTAGAGGTACCCAACAACAAAAACAGTCTATGAATAAAACTACATCCTAGTATCTGTATGGGTTCAGGCTGAATACTATGTATTATGCGCAACTAAAACCTCTGAGCTGGGTTTTGAAGACCCAGGCATGGTAATTTAGTGTCCCACAGCTGAATACAAGTGTAAACAGTCTAAGCCCTTTAATTTTCGGGTCACTAAAGCTGATCAGAAAGACAGTCACTAGAAAAGAACAAACATTATTTCCTTAATTAAGAATTCGTAAGACAATTTGTCAGCAAGCCTGGTTCTAAATAGAGTAGTTTACCCTAAGGAAAGAACTACCAGAAATCAGCTGTATGGATATGGAACAACAGCCTTTGTGACTTAAAAATGTTACTTCTCTGAACAGCTCTTTATATCTGCATAACTGCTTACTTCTCCTCCCTTTGTTCTTCTGTTAAGGAGTCTTTATTGCCCACAGGACCGATAACTGGTTTTGAGAAAATTGAATTTATTTTATGATCGCAGGTATAGTTTATCATTCAGCACAATAAAAAGTACGTAAACAGCAAAACACTGGTTATTAACCAAGCAGTCAAAATCACATATATAATGATTACGTGAAATCCAGGAATTACACTTCCATTGATTATTGACAGAATAATTTTAAGCACTTCTCTAACTTAGAAAAAGTGCTCAGACAAGCTTTCATCAACATCTGGGGGGGGTTTTGTTACATTTTTTAATAAACAAAACGCTGAGATTAATTAACATAAAGGAAGCAGGCCTATGCCTCTTCAAGTCAACCTTCTCAACAGCAAAATAATTATCCCAAATTACCCTGAATGGTCATTTATAAATTGATAAAATATTGGTCTTTAGAGATCAAAAAAGATGAATTTGGTTGCAAACCTTGAAGAAAGAGCACAACTGATGGGTGAAACTCGTGATTTTCAGAAGTTGCTTCAAAAAGGCTCATGTATTTGGTCATTCATATAACATGTAAAGCTTATGGAAAACTGCAATTCTTTTTTGAAATTTATGAAATTTGAATATCAAGAGTCCAAATGACCTTGAATACCAAAATGCTTTTACTTTGAAACATCCAGTATCAGTTCATTTGTCTATAACAAACTGCAGTGTGCAGATTGCACTGCCTGCTTGGGAGCTGTGCAAAATAACTGCTCATTGAAAATACTGCATCTAAAGCTTGGGAAGAAAGCATTCTATTTCCTACTAAAAATAATTTAGTAGTCAACTGTTGTACTTTATTTGTGTTGAACAATCCCTTCCCTTTTTCTGTTTACATTCAATTTAATGGTACCACTCAAAGAATAAGACGTTTGGTAGCATGGGTAGAGTAATAACTATTTTTGTTAGCCCTTTGACCTTTCCTTGGGCTGTGTGAAACTACTATGTCATTTCCATATTTCTCTGTTATAAGGCAGTCACATTCATTATCTCACACATAATGACTTCATGTTTTTGACTTTTGTGCCTAAAAGCCACGTTACCATTTTCATGCAGTTCTTGAGTGACAATAAAACACCAGAATATCTCAGATGTGCTGAGATACAGCTACCCTTCTGCTGTAGAAGACAGAACAAGAGAACAAAAATACAAATAAATTACAGAAAGACTGTTTAAATATAAACCCTGTGATATTAGCTGTACTTCTTTAAAAACGTTTTTAAATGCTCTCCACACAAAATACCTCTTCTGAGTTGTAAATTTAAAAGCCTTCTGTCCATGGAAAATGTAGGTCATTTCGCATGTTTAATGGATACCCAGTGCTCATTCAGGATAAAAAATTAAGGTCCAAACAGCTGTAATTGCATCCTCCTCCACTGTGTAGGAGGAAAGATGGGTGTGAAGCTGCCTTTGGGCTGACTGCAGCGATAGGCTTTCAAGCCTTATCAGCACCACGAGGTCAGGAGTACCGATGCCGTAGGTGAGCCTGTCTTGGAGGAAGGTGAACAACTCTGGAGCGGTTCTCATAATCCTTGGCTGAATGTACGTGTCACCCAAAGCGCGATGCATTGGGTGAGCTGCCTGTTGGAAATTCGCAGCCTTAGGCTGCACCTGGTGTCAAAAAGTCCTGCCTTAACAACAAGGTCTTCTGTTAATATCTGCAAATATGACTAGAAGCACTCCAGAGCAGTGAAGTAGTACACAGTTCTCCTTAGCAAACAATGTTTGAGGCAAGGACATTTAGAATAGGCAAATTTTTAGTCCCTGAATTTCTTCTCCTTGCTTGACAGGCAGGAGCGGTCAAGCAGAAAGTCTCAGCTCTCTCCACTTGCAGATCCTTTTGGGCCCTCTCGTGAGAGACCAAGTCAAGCACGGCAGGGCTTGCCCTTGGATTTACACATCAGGGAATGCACTTATAAATAATAGATTCAAATGTTAATTAAAAAGAAAAAAAATAGCTTCCACTATCCCCAGCCATGCAGAAAGTGCTCTTTGCCCGCGACAAAGAAAATCCGTCCATTGCTGTATGGGGTAATATATTTAATCCGTCCTACCCGCTCTTAAGAATCCAGCCACTTTAGCACTGCTTGGCGTTACTGAAAAAGACAGGCAGCAGACATAACAATGAAAAATTTTAATCTACCCCCAGGTCCATAGAAGCATGCATGTACTTTATCTCAAATAGTAGGTAACTGCTTCTCATAAAAATATTCAGGCACGACTGTGAGCAGGTGTTTTACTTTTACATGCTGACTGCTATGCACCAGGCTATTCTTCCACATACGGGGATGGCTTGATGCTGGGAGGGTTGTCTTTATTTAATCAAATAATTAACCCTTTTTTTCCTTTTTCTTACCAATTCTAAGCAGAATATCAAGTTAGGTCTGAAGATATATACACACAAAAGATTCTGAGAAAGTTCCATTTTGTAACAGTATTTTCAATTTTCTTGAAGATAATCTGTTAAAATCATAGCCAGAGTTTTCAGGTGGCTTATTGTTTTCAGCATGTTGTAACTGAAAAAAACAGTATAGTATCCTGAAAAGTTGAGCAGAAATTACTTATCTACTTACTGTTTCATTTCCCTTGTTTCATTTCACTTGTTTCTAGATTGAGCAAATCTAGGTTGATTGGGCTGAA